GGGACAGCAAGCGAGGCTATTCTCCATGACTAGTCCAGCAAAGAGCTGTGGTGTGGGGCAGGACGGGGAGCCTGAGCCAGCCCTGGGGTAGGGGTGCCCAGTTCTTTCATTCCAGCCATTGCAGCCTGGAGCCGATAAATGCCTCCCAGGACCCCGGGGAGGAGGGAACCAGGGCTGGATGTGAGGCACGGAGAGGAGGGGATGAGGAGCAGGGCTGGCTTTGGTATAGCGCACCCATTGAACTGGGAGGCTACATCCGCTCCAGCTATCACCAGGAGAGGGCAGCTTTAGATTCCATCGAGGGCCCAACAGGAAGCCACCCACGGAGGCTGCCATGGGGAGATGCTGAACAAGCACATCTCCAGGATGGTCCGTCCCCGTCCTTCTCCAGGGCTGCACCAACCAGCGCCAGACCCCATTGCAGAACATAAGTCAGGGCCCTCCTGCGAGGGTTGGAATGCAGCAAAGAATGTTTCTTCTCCCTCCTCCCGTAGCACTCAGACAATGACAGGATAGGCCTCATGTTAACAGACTGATTGCTTCCTGGCCTGCCTGCTCAAGCTCGCACACCAATCCAGGTCAAAACTCCAAAGCTAACAGGTAGGTAAGGGCGAGGGTATGGGCCTTGCTTATTCCAAAGGCCAGCTTGCCATGCCTTCTTTGTTGCGAGATGTGCCACTAGGTGTCTCGCACTGATTCTCCATTCTCTCAGCTCCCTGTGCAGACAACACCCTGCATATTTTACTCCCCAGTGCACCTGTAAAGGGGCTGCCAGTCCAGTCCTGCATGGTCCTAATTAGCCCTGAATTAAAGAATTCTTAAGTGAAGTGTATGCAGCTAAGTCAAAGGAGTTACTCGACGTTACTGAGCACTGCAGCAGCAGAAGGGAGAAGTAAACAGATTCTGCTCAAAGCCAGTAGGAAAAAAAACAATCAAACAGCATGATCCACAAGAGAACTAGAGCACCAGGCAGACTAAGCGGCACTATTTACAAAGCCCAAAACTAACCCTAGAATATCAAGTATGCTAGCAGTTGGACCCTGAACGCCAACCTGCTTAATTGCCATTTTTGTTGGGATACACCTGCTGGCTACTTTCCTCCAATTCACCGAAGTCTCTCAGAACTTACTTTTGCTGCTTTGAGGGGTGCTGGCTGGCTTCTCAGGATACTGGGAGGAATCAAAGGTTACATTCTTCCCTGGTGTCTGGGCTAGTTCAGAGGCTTTAAATAAAAGAGAATAGTTTCAAAATGTGATAGGCACAAAACTCACACTGAACAGCTGTGGGTTTGTCACAGTCACACACAAATAGTTCTTTGCCCAAAGTAATCTCTTACATATTAACCCCATTTCCCAACCTTTTCAAGGAGCTGCACTAGATATTTCCCTTCTTTCTCTACCTTTGTGAGTAAATTTAATACTAGTGAAAGGTTCTTCAAGACTACACTCTTCTGCTGATCCACAAGACAGGTACAGAGTTAGCCTGACCTAAGTTCCACCCTCCCAAAGGGGCCACCCTTTGAGGTGAGAAAATATTTTAGTCATGACACTTGGTCCTCTGTCTGAGGCTGCCGAACTGGACTCTGTGGTAATGGCTTATGTGTTGAGATCATCAGTCCACTGGGAACTGGACTAAACTCACATTTTATTGACTCCCTTCTGATAATTATCAGGTTGGATTGGATTTGAACTGGTGACTTGAATGCAAAAGGCTATGTATTGCAACAACAGTCTTGAGAATCTAAATTTCACTCAGGTTTCAGAGTAGCAGCCGTGTTAGTCTGTATTTGCAAAAAGAAAAGGAGTACTAGTGACACTTTAGAGACTAACCAAGTTATTTGAGCATAAGCTTTCGTGAGCTACAGCTCAATTCATCGGATGCATTCGAATGCATCCGATGAAGTGAGCTGTAGCTCACGAAAGCTTATGCTCAAATAACTTGGTTAGTCTCTAAAGTGCCAATAGTACTCCTTTTCTTTAAACTTCACTCAGTTCACTCAACTAAAACTTCAGCTGTACCAGCCAGAATCTCCACTTGGCTTGTTCTAACCCACGATGGAGCTCAAACTGTTCCAAACTTCACACTCCACCTGCAAGACTAAAGGATGAATCAGCTCAGACTCTGCTGTAGAATTATGGCATGAACAGTGGAACAGGAGACAACGAAGCCCAGCACAAAGGTTCAGCATTACAGTAAGGGAAACCCAGAGCACCAGTGGTTAAAGCCTGAATTACTGGTGACACATAATACAGTGGATGTGAACCTCTGCATTAACACATACAGAAAGGGGACCACTATAACATGAGAGCTGCCATTACAGCAGAAGCAATCACCAATATGTCCAAATCCTGAGCTTCTGTTTCTCAAAACTTTTGATATAAAGCCAATTGTAAGACACCAAAAACAGTACTTTTTAAATACAAGTAAATTACAAGGAGACTGCCAGACTAAGATTCCAGAAAGAGTTTATCCTCATGGTAATATTGAAAAGGAAGACATACCCAGCTCTGCCATCTTGCCAGAACGTTTTGGAGTCTGGAACGAGTAAATTTTACCACCACCTGCACTGGGGCCATTTCTCAAGGAATCTGTTAGAAAGCACACAAGAACGGCCAAACTGGGTCAGACCAAAGGTTCATCTAGCCTGTCTTCCTACAGTGGCCAATGCCAGGTGCCCCCGCGGGAATGAACAGAACAGATAATCATCAAGTGATCCATCTCCTGTTGCCCATTCCCAGCTTCTGGCAAACAGAGACTAGGGACACCATCCCTTCCCATCCAGGCTAATAGCCATTGATGGACCTATCTTTCATGATTTTACCTAGCTATTTTTTGAATTCTGTTATAGTCTTGGCCTCTACAAGATCCTCTGGCAAGAAGTTCTACAGGTTGACCGTGTGTTGTGTGAAAAAATACTTCCTTCTGTTTGTTTTAAACCTCCTGCCTATAATTTCATTTGGTGACCCGTAGTTCTTGTGTTATGAGAAGGAGTAAATAATACTTAGTTATTTTCTTTCTCCACACCAGTCATGACTTTATAGACCTCTTTCATATTCCCCCCCTCCAGTCATCTCTTTTCCAAGCTGAAGAGTCCCAGTCTTATTAATCTCTCCTCATACGGCAGCCATTCCATACCCCTAATCATTTTTGTTGCCCTTTTCTGAAACTTTTCCAATATATCTTTTTTGAGATGGGGCAACCACATCTGCATGCAGTATTCAAGATGTGGGCATATACCATGGATTTAGACAGAGGCAATACGATATTTTCGCTCTTATCTATCCCTTTCTTAATGATTTCTTAGTCATGGATACATAAAAAGCACCGACATATTCCTGAGCTATGGGAGTCAAGACCAACACGTTATCATTGGACTTGAAAGGGCTGTTTATGTTATGGAAGTGGAAAAAACCCCACAAGCAGTCCAAGAACCATTAGAATTCAACCACACACAGCCAAGTTTGCGGTCACTGGGCATCAGTCCCTGAAGGCAAATAACTGTTTGCCAAACAACCCCACCACTTACATGTTGCAAGAGTTTATATCTTTCCCCAGAAATACCTTCAGCACACGCCCCCAAAACAGCCACGTAGTTCTGCTCTTCCAGGATCTCCTGGGCCTCATCATCAGAAATGTTCTCAAGTTTCTTCACAAATCTCTTTACGTTGAGCGCAAGTTGAGCTCTGTCCTTCCGAACTTTAACACCTAAAATCACAGCCACAAAACCGTAACTTCTGATAAACTAAACGTAATTATTAATTAGTAGTATTGCAGTAGTACCTTGGAGCTCCTGTCCTGGACCAATCCCCTTTCTCCCGACCCCTCAAAGTTGTGCGAAGGGCTGTACAAATAGAATAAAAACTACAGACCCAGTCCCAAATGCTTACAATTTAAATAACCAAAGCTGCAGTGAATGTTTCCGCTTTTAACATTCATATGGAAACTCAATACAGCACCTGTCCCAACTGCCAAATAGTGATTTGGAACTTAGACATTAACATGACTATTTTTTGGTTTCATAGCTACTTCTAGATGTCATACCAAGTTCTCAGTATCCATATAAGTGATGACATCAGTGCAATTCTGAAGTGTTAACTGCCACTGCAGAGTTGCACATATCAGGATTTGAGTCCCATAAAGTCTAAAGGGATCACACAGAACACCATAAAAAGAAACCCCAAGCCAAGTTTTTAAAAGGAGATGCTCTCAGAACATTACCGCACTGGAAATATGCAAATTGTTAAAATTCAAAAATTTCAGCACTAGTGATTTTAGGTGCCTCAGTTTTCAGTTTTCAGATACTTAATACAAAATACCTTAAAGAGGCCTAATTATCAGGAAGTGCTGAGCACTTGCATTCTGAGCAATCAGACCCTGCCAGGATGAAGTTGGGCACCCAGAGGGTTCCAATCATTTTGACGACCCTGACCTTAGATACATTTCAATTATCTGCAAAACAAGGTGCCTTGTTTACACTTAAGCCACCAGTACCTCCGGTATCAGAAATGTGCTTCAGAACATCTTCATCAGCCACAAACCTGGCTTCCAGGACCTTGCTTCTCTTTAACTCCAGCTGACTCATAGCAGACAACCTGCAATGCCAACAAGCGTTGGCCAGGTGCGCGGCCGGGCACTGCCCACCCCGCAGAGCGCCCCGCAAACCTGCAGCTACGCGCCCCGCTTCCAGGCAGCGGAGCCACCACGTGCACGCGGCCGCAAGAGCCGCCTTACAGCCAGGGGGCTACGCGCGGGGCTCTGCAATGGGGGGCAGGCCCGGGCCCCAGCTGCCTGCGGAACTGGAGGCTGCAGCGGCCTCGAGCCCCGCCCCCTCCCCGCGGCTCACAGGAAGCTCGGAGGCGGGTGGCACGAGCCGGAACAAGGCGCATCCTTCTAGGCTCGGGGGCGCACAGCGCGAACCTACCACCCCCCCGCTTAGGGGGGGCCAAAGGGGCGGGGACTGCGCTGCACCAATAGGAAACGCAGCCGCGCGCGATCGATCTTCCCGCCAGCAAATCAACAGCGCCTCTGGCGGGCTCTTCCGCCGGTCCCAGGAGGTACTCGCCCTCAACCCACCGAGAGGGGGGGCGCGGCCAGGAAGGTGTCCCGCCCCCAGACTCCTCCCCTCTCTCGCTCCAGAGCGGAGGTGCCGAGAGCCCTGGGCGAGCGGGAGGGGCGCGCGAGGCGGGCACGCGCCGCGTCGGCCCGGCTGAAAGCCCGCGGGTACGAGGCCCGGCCCGCCTTAGCCGCGGGCGGGAGCCGGGGCCCCTGACGCTGACTGACGGACTGCTGAGCCGGGGACCGCAGCTCCGCTCGCGGGCCCGGGGGGCGGGGGCAGCGTCGCCCTGCCTGGGGCCCGAGCCCAGGGCGCGCCGGCCCCTGGGGGACGCCGAAACAAGCGCCCCGCGTGCCGGGCCCCCGCCCCCGGCGCCCTAACCCCTGTCACCCGCGCTGCGCTGCGCCTGCGAAGGCCGAGCCGTTCCCCGAGGCGGTCACCCAGGCGGGTGGGGGGGCGGTCACACGCCACAGCAAACCGCCCTGGCTCAGGGACCCTTGTAGCCTGCCACGCCTTCGGGGCGCCCTCGGCCGGGTTCCCGGGAAGAGAGGTACGGGACCTGCAGCGGGGGGGATCACGGGTCGGGGGGCACTATGGCTCCCTGCCGGGCAGCAAGCCCAGGACCCAGCGCCAGCCGTCAGTCAGCGCCTCCTTAAGGGCCCCCTTGCCTCAGCGCCGGGGGTGGGAGGACAGGGCGGGCGCTGTGGTTTGCAGGCGAATATAGACCAACCAGCTGTGGGTGCAAGGGAATAGACGCACGTGGCTGTTTCTGCTCTGCGGAAGACCCGCCGAGGGCCTTGCCCATTGCATGTTGTTTGAAAACCATGCTCTGAGAGAGAACGCTCAAAAAAGAAGCCATGTATAGAAACCTTTTATATATGGTAACCCTCGTTACTCGAATGCTCCCTACCTTTTTTTTCATTTAACAAAAGGGATTACACCTTCAGCTATCAATTTGTGGCATTCTCTAGGAGTTGCCATAAAAAGCCAGATTACCAGGGAAGCTGCATACCAAACCACCTCTGGTCTTGGTGAATGGAAGCTGCCCGCTTTGCAAGCCACGCTCCTGAGCACTCTAGAAAGGTTGCTTACAAAAAGTAAGTAAATAAAAAAAAGTAACAAGGCAAGTTAAATCATTAAGGAAGACGTTAGCAGTCTCCTAGAGTTGCATGTGGAGTGCTGTTCAAATTCCAACTCTGGAAATTACATTCTCCCGGCCTAAAAGCATTGATTAAAATTCACCAATCATGTTTGACTTAACTTCTGGTCAAACTGTGGCATAAAATTAGTGTATACTGTTAAACAGCTGCCATGTTTCATCCCAAATTAGCTACATGTCAGAGATGAAGAAATGACATCTGTATTGAAATTAATCCCAGTCCTTGATAACAGCAGCATTATTCTACATGCTCAAGCAAGTGTTTGACTAAAAAGAGGCTTCAAAGGAGGATAGGTGCAGCAGAGGTCATTCTTCTTATTTATGTAAAGGAAGTGATTCCACAATATAAAATTTAGATCAGAAGCCCTCTCTCTTACTGAAGTCTTTCTTCATCGCTGTAAAATTTGTATAGACAGGATGGTGGAAAGGCTGCGGTCTCTGCTCACAGAAAATTAGCTTACTGAACTCAGCAGCACCTGGAGTGTATACCATATAAACTCTAAGCATATTCCAATATTTTCAGAACTAGTCTCTCGGTTATTATGCAATTTCATTTGTAAAACGGTAACAGAATGATACTCTTTATCTTCTCACTACCCGTGTCCTCTGGGCTTTCTTCCTCCCTTTTACTCTCTGCACTTTCCTTTTCTTCCTGTTCCTTCACAGGAATAGCCTCCTTTACTCCATATTAAGTTTACTTGGAAAAAATAAAATCAGTAAATACTCTTTTTTGTATGGGATGAAGTGTATTTACACAACAGACTGACACCCAAGGAAAGTTATCAGGTACATTGGCATTAGCAGGATATTAATCTGAAATACAGTCCATTAGCATTGACAGAGATATATTGCATATTGTCCAGTACTCCCCCAGAACCACTCAGTATCTGTGCTCAGCATAGGTCATCTAAGTTTGTAAAATGAAAGAAAGACCATTGCACTAAAACTATATAGAAAGATCCACTACATATTGACAGGTTTCAGAGGAACAGCCGTGTTAGTCTGTATTCGCAAAAAGAAAAGGAGTACTTGTGGCACCTTAGAGACTAACCAATTTATTTGAGCATGAGCTTTCGTGAGCCACAGCTCACTTCATCAGATGTGTACCGTGGAAACTGCAGCAGTTTCCACGGTACACATCTGATGAAGTGAGCTGTGGCTCACGAAAGCTCATGCTCAAATAAATTGGTTAGTCTCTAAGGTGCCACAAGTACTCCTTTTCTTTTTACATATTGACCTTAACAGAAGCAAATCTATAAAACAAGAAAACTATGCTCAGGTTAAAAAAATACAATTGACACAAGGTGTACATATTCATCCAGAAACACCACAATATTTATTTAATATTGTATATATATATATATATATATATTCTGCATTGCAGACTGTTTTCCATTTTATACATCTCTATTTACAGTGATTTAAAATATTTTTTTTTTTTAATCTCTGGCAAATATTTACAAGGTCAACAGTAACTACATTTCACATTTCAACAACAATCAACAGCATTAACCAGCTTCAGTAAGACAGTTAAGATAATGGCTTACATGCACCAATAACATGATCTTCAATATGTGTCATCTTCAGCTCTGTAAGAGTGAAGATTTTCACTGGTTCCAGGTTAAAGGACATCATGCAACAGAGACTGCATTTACTACATACCCATTCTGTTTAGTTTTTCACCAGCACTATATCCTGAATGTTTGTGAGTGCATACCAACATGCAGGGTTACACTGGTGAAAAAAGGGCGTCTCCTACACAATTGGAACCCTTTTGCCAAACAGATTTGTCCACAGAAAGTAGGTTATTTGCTGTCTATACTCCTTTTGTGACAGTGATAAGATTACATAATGCCAAAATAGTAAAAATCCTTCAGAAACCTTAGTTCAGAGACATAAACCTTGTATGACAGAAACAGTAAGAAAATACTATCTCAATCCTTGTAGATTGTTTCATTTTGCTAGTCAAACTGACTGCAAATTCTATATTGTTACACGAACAGTAAGACTCAAAAGATTCATTGTAAAGTAGAGGAATTTATTACAAATTTAAAAAACACAGCATGGGGTACCCCAGTTTACTTACAGCAAATAAAAGCTACCATAGTAAGTCCAAAAAGATAATCTAATTATTCAAAATCTTTACTAGCTTTTGCCTGGTGTCCTTGATATGGAAAAATGTTTCCAGTTAAATTACTCTTAAGGTTATTTACTTTATTACATGGTTTCATTCCATAAATAACCGACTAGTAATGCCCTTGCCCAAAAGTATGCACTTTTCTGCAAGAAAACAGTAAAATGTAGTGTTTCCAAGTCTTATTTGAACACACAAACATTTTGACCACTAGCAAACCAATGGATACTTTGCAAAGACAAGTAATTTATCCTGAGCGATTGCTAACTCACATTGACTGCACATTAGAAGCCATGTACTTTTTGCTAGTAACATTTTTCATAAAAAAATATGCAAGACTAGTGAATGGTCTGAACTGGAGGGAAAAGTTTCAGTAGCTTATTTTCTGTCACTTCTAAGTCCTATAATGTCAAGGAGAAGAAATGTAATTTGCTTAGAGAAACTACAATCAACCTGTTAAATTTCCTATTCAGTGCTAGAAAAGAGCAGGATCAGTTGTCCTAGACCTGAAATAAAGATACAGTGACAAAACACCATAAAGGAGTCTTATTGGAGGGTACATCTAAACTATTAGTTATCTGTGTTACAGACTTGATATAGCTATTTGCTCATTTGAAGGCATTTCAGTAATTAACTTGATTTTTCTAGAGCTGATTAATTTGTTTGGAAATTCGATTTTTTTAAAACTTCGTTTGACAGAAATGTTCAGTCAAAATACAGGGGTCTTCTGCTCTATTCGCTCACACTTCACGCACTGCTTGTAAACCTGTAATAGGAATTCATGACAAAATAATTAGTTGGCAAAGACCTAGCTCAAAATGCAGTCCAGGATCTCAAAATAACTGTACAACTGTTTCCTTCCATGTTTCGTCACAGGAATAGAAAAGCAATCCTTTACATTAGAAGGGACAATTTATTGAAGGATGGACCCCATTTTAATTACATTTGGTCCCTTAATGGTCTCTTTCGGTAAACTCTCTGATGCATATAGGAAAGATAAAAGGAATTTGCTTTTCTGTTCAAAAGGGATGACACTAAATCTTGAAACAGAATCATCAGTTTGCATCTAATTTAGTTAAATCTAGAATTAAGCTGTCTGATTTGGGATAGATTGTCCACTAATAAAGTTCATTTCTCGTCCAGATTGTATCTGAGGTTCTCCGTATTAGACTTCTAGGGAGAACTACAAAATAAACAACTTATTCTTATCGCAGATACTGACCCTAGCCAACCCCCAGGTAAAATTTACTCATTATTTTAAGTGGCTACAGTTATTTCCTTTCTTCCTGTTTTATGCTTTGCAAGCTGGGTTTAATAAGGTAGGATTTTAAAAAGCCATATTAAAAATATTAGCAATGGTCATATGAACATATGTATGCCAGCCTTGCAAAATCTTATTCTCACGCTCACTTGGGGTGTTTTGTTTTGACATAACAGTGACAGATCAGTTTCCCCCACTCCTCTCCATTATCTTCCATCAAAATGTAATAGGTATATACACTGGGCTCTCTGCTGATCTATTATGACAATTTTGAAAGAAGGGTTTATATGTTCATTTATACTTCAGCCATAGAAAATTTCTAAATAAAACTTTTGTGCAATGCACAACCTTGATTATCCAAATGCCGTAAGGAAAAAATGAGGAGAAACAAGGGAATTTTCAGTAAGTCCCAGGTCCTAGAAACAAACACTAAGTTTAAAATACCAAACAATATCAAATATTGTATGGTCTGGTTTAAGCTGAATACTCAGTGCATGTACACTATAGTGAATTTGCCCTTTTTATTTTACATGTTTGGAATGGACTGGCACAAGTTACTTCTGGCTTTTCCCCTTGAGTTCTACAATCATTCCTGACTCGAGAAATAAAAATACATGTTCATGGTCCATGCATGATAGTAAGTTTAACATATTACAGTAACATGTCTTAGACTTAGGCAATGCTAGATTGCAACAATTTAGGGTTTGTATGATTTAATATTTAAAATATCAAGACTGTCTTTTTGTTCTCTTTGTATAGTGCATAATAAATAATAGGTTAGTTCATATTATATTTATCAATTTTTTCCACAATTTAGGGGGACAATATTTTGTACAACTTAATTTCAGAATTATTTTCTTTGATTGAAAAGTCATTTTGTTCATTTCTTTCTTCAGATTGTTTTGATTTCCAAGAGTTTTTTTATTTTTGATTTAAAAAAAATCAATCTGAAATTATTTATCAATCCATTTGTCTGAATTGTTTCCAGGTTTAAGAAAATTAAAATGCCTTAAATATTAAAGCAGGTAGCAACTGGCTTATCTGGAAGGACAAAAAAGTTTAAACTGTTGATTTAAAAATGGCCTCAGTGTAGAATAATCTGTTCCAAAATTAATCTTCAAAATATATTTGTGAATCTATTTTCATTATTTTGACATTTTTCCCTTGAACTAAGCTTTAAAATTAATTACTAGATATCCAAAAAGCAAAGCAACCCACTTTGTATTTGTCACTATTTAGTAGTAGATCTTACCCCCTTAATTTTCTAATATGTTTACATTTATATACAATACACACACAACTGAGGCAACTGATAGTCAACATATGACAAATGTATGTACCTACCCACACACAAACCTCACATGGTGAGAAAAAGCTCTGCCCCAGTACATTCCACTATTCACAAAAGTAGTGCAAATAAAATATTTTGTCAGAAAACAATATTTTCACTATTCCAGTGTTAAAGCAGGTGATTTTAATTACTTTAAAAGCTTAGTAAGAGACATATAAGAATTTGTTTGGAAATGTCAGATTTATCTATTTGATACTATTATATTTGCAAACCATACAAATATCTGATATAATAAATAATTGGTGTGATAAAATGTTCACTGATACAGAATGGAAGGACAGGCTTCACACAGCTAAAAAAGCTTTTTCAGGGTCACATCACAAAGGGTATTCCAATCTGTATTTGAGATGTACAATAAGGTACAAAGTCTCAATATTCTGAAAACTAAATTAAATGGATGGATAGTACAGTATTTAATCTTCACTTGCAACATTCGTTTAAACAGCTATTACTTGTCATCTTGCTGCCTGCATGAAAAATGGCTCACAGCTCAACCAAAATACCACTTAAAATAGCTTAAAAGCTGATCAAAGATTTAATTAGCAAGCCAGTTATTTTATATTTCCTTAAATTATGAAGCCCCAGAAAAAAGAGTTACAAATGCCAGCATATTATTGTGCACAGTTATGCTAAAAGCAAGGGATAATACATTTATCCTTACTTAAATGTGTATCTACACCTAGCTACAGTACCCATAGTTCCCCACCTCAGAGTTGTGCGTATATACTATCTCAGATGAGGAGGAATGTCGTATTCTACATTCTGACCTCTTGTATACTGCAACTGTACTCAACTATTGCAGGGGTCTAAAACTAGTGCATGATGTTACATACCAAATGCATTATAATTATGGAGAGAGAATAGAGTGAGGTAAGGATAAAGAACTTAAGTCTAAATCTTTGTCACAGTTATCAGAAACCTATTATTTTAATAGTTTTGTACTTAGTTTAACAGTAGCATACAATACCCTCCAAAGTCAACTCTGATTATTCTTTGTTTGTATCCCAAGCATTTCCATTTCAGTTAATGCCACAGTACTTTGAAGTTAACTGAAGCTCAGTACATCATATTTCACAACTACCTTGACATGGATTGATGGACACATCTAAAAGCATTAATGATATATAGCACTGACTTGACACATTATAATGACTGCTTCATTTATGTTAATGGATGAGTCATTCCAGAACACAGAGAGGTTGATCAGCGAACGTCTGACACATAGCACTCAAAGGATCCTTTGGACTAGTTATTATGTATCATGTCAGTCCATAGTGTGGAACAACTAGGATGTTAATAGGGACAAAATTTGAACTCTATCAAAAAGCATCTAATAGAGAAAGTAGTGTGCATATACACAAAAGCAGGTTAACGAATACGTATAACAGATTTATAAAATATAACAAAGCACTCCACCAAAATAAGGACTAAACACCTTCAAAACTGGTTTTAAAAAAGTGACTAAAACGTAATTCAAATTTGAGCACCCATATTTGACTCCCCATTTGAAATCACAGGAATATTTCATTTTGCTGAACTGGTTTAACTGCATTTTGTGTAAGAAATGGTCAAGATATGGAAACTTGTTTGCTAAGTTTTAGCCTGAAGCAAAATTTTTAGAAGAGTTATAAATTCCTTAGGTGAAAACTAACAATGGAAAATACAGAACATCGATAGCAGAGCTACCAAACATCACTTTTTATATTTTTGTGTACACCTCTATATAATATATATACACATACATAATAAACACTTGAAAAAATATATTAGGATTCTTCCAAAACTAGCCTGAACTTCTGACTTACGTTTCCACCTCAAGAACTAATATAAAGGAATAATTTGGTCCTTGTCAATTTGAAATTATCTTTATCTTTATTAATATTCTTTTTTTTTTTTTTTTGGTTTAATCTGTTCCAAATACATCTCTACTCCTCTTTAAAAACATCAGACAAGCTTCTGCACAACCATAGCCATCATATTAAGTGTCTCCATTGCCTGTACTCTAGAAAACAAACTGACAAGTGTAGCCATCTCTTGCTATGTTGTGAAGCATCACTATTTTTTACAGTACATATTTTTAGGTCAACTTTACTCCAGGGCATTACCTCTTGGCTACTCCAGATTTCGTCTTTGTTCTGTCAGTTTATGCATCCCTGGCAGTCCTTGCAACTTAGCTGCAGTTTTTAAAGAGACGATAAAGTGTTGTTTCCTTTTTCTTAACTGAATGTTTGTGTTTAAAGTGTTTGAGATTTTTGCATAATTCTGAATGCTGTTTGATGCTGTCATTCCTCTTTGAATGTGAAATATGAAGATTAAGTGACCAAGTAACTAATTCAACAATAAAAATGTCTTCCTTTAACTGTTTAAACTATAAGCTTGAAAGTCACTTTGGAAAAAATGCTACTTGAAATGAGGGTGTTAAAAAGAGAAGAAGAATCAAAAGCTCGAAATAACATTTAAACAACCAACCCATTAAATAATCACTAGCAATGTAATGCCATTTTAGTTCTGAATTTCATACAGTCTTTATAAATCAAAAGATAGCCTGTTATTGGTAGCCATTTGTGTATATTTTTTCACAGTGAAAAATATAAAACCAAAGTGCCTACATAATGAAAAAAATTAACTCTCATCTGTTCCATGGGTTAATGGCCTGTAAAATTCCAGGTCACAACAGAGTAGAGAAACAAGGCTGAGACGTCCTCTTTTCTCCTTAGTTATCCAAAGAAAGAGACAGGCTAAAATATGATGAACATTCCCTTTTGTAATCAGAAATGAACTTTTAAGTAGTGATCTCCAGCATAGGTACCAACTGCTGCCCATCCATCAATCACTTAGATTCAGGACTTGGCTCAATGGCATGAGATCAGAGTTTTCTAGGAGATTGCCTGCCTCCATCAGCAAAACGATCAGATAATATTTACAAAATACAATGGATTGTAAATACAAAGGTAGTGAAGTGTGGTCCTTCTGGGAGAAAATACTGTGAGTACCCCGTTATACCAACATTGTTTCTAGAAAGTGTTGCACATTGACACTTCAGTGTTTCCAGCAAACCATTATCTCAGTCCCTGATGCAGCTCCTTGGAGGATTATGTCTGGACTACAGTTTTCTTAATCTATGCTGTGACTGAACTAGGAACACCTAGAAAGCAGGAGGGGGCTTCCTAACAGCTTTGATACCATAGAATGCAGCCTGAGAATCCCTCTGTTTACCTGAAGATGCACTTGTTCAATTCAGTGATCATCACCTCACACAAATAGAAGCAGAGCTAGTAGTTAATTGTTTCTGGGAAAGCGTGTGTCTCCTTCCCATTTTTGAATTATTTCAACAGGTTTGGCCTTTCCAAATTCCAGTCTATAAGCGGAATGACCCTGTGTCCTGGCGGGGGGGAAGGGGGGGGGCGGCGAGGAAGACTTATAACATAAATATGGCTACAACGCCATAAGTAGTACACTGTGACCTACGTTCTCTACTTACAGCCCTCTCTTTATCTGAGGGGCAACGACTTGGTAATAGGCATGTCTCCGCTGTAAACAGGAAGAGTTTCAGGAGTAGGAGAGTAGAGGTGAGGGTGGGGAAGGAAAAGAACAATTCTCATTTTTAATGGAAAAGTGCATTAGTCAGCCAGGAGCAATGACATTCCCCTCCCCCAGAACTGATTGCACAAGCTCAGAGAGGTCCAAAGTCACATTAGAATCTCTGAGGCACTCCTGGTTCTAAGAAAAATCATGATCCAGTAGTCTTTGCAGTACTGTAGACTGATAAAACTAACCCGTTTCTATTTCTTAACAAAGCCAAAGCATCATCTCATAGGGATCACATTCACCATTTCCTCCAATATCACCAGTCTCACAGTGTTGAAATGGGACTGATCAGCCTACGATGGATTGCACGTCACCCAAGGAGAAAGGAAGGTGGGGGAAAAGGCATACAGTACATTTTATACTGCTTCACAACCATGTTCACAAAGGTGGGGACTGGGAGTGAGGGAAGATTTATTGCTGTTTCATACAAAATACAGGATGATATCTAAACTGAATCAAATGAGATCACAATGGTCAGTATTTTCACACTGTGGGATGAAGGTTCTTGTTCTTGCCCAAGGATGAACTGTCTGTTGGTTAAAGAGGAAGAGGGGAGTCAAAGCTACACCTGGGATATCAGCTGCATATTGAAACTTGGGGATCGAGACTGCTTTGTAAGGGGAGCCCCTGGGGTAAGGAGATCGTTACCTTCCCCAGTTTGGCCTAGCCGGTCCTCCTGTAGACTGATGGTTGAAAACCGATTGGAATTGCCAGCTGCTAGATTAGTAACACCCTCAGTGCCAACCCCAACAGTGGAAGCTGCTTGACCACCATTCACATAGTCAAATGATTTACTGGAGGAAGCACTGGCGGTCCGGATCAGGCTCAAGCTACTGGCTTTTGGTACCACCTGCCCAGCAGGCAGGCTGAGGTGTTTCTTTGTAGGTGTCATCTCAATTGTTTCCGCAGTAAGGTCAGCTGGTTGGTGCAGGTACTGCTTCCGAGCTACTGAATCTCGAGGGCTCTCATTGGATTTAGTGGCAGATGATGTTTCTTTATCCTTAGCTGAACGCCCACTTGCTGCTTTCCTTAAACTGCCTCTCTGGGATGTGGACGATAGAGGCTTGGTCCCAACTGGCTGGCTACTAAGGGAAGCTCCTGATGAAAATCCTTCGTCAGCATCATTGAGGTTCACAGACTCCTCTCTTCCATTTATACCCTCAGCATCTACAAAAACCCAGCACAAACAAATCAGACCCAGAAACTAAACAGTCAAGTTACATGAAGTGGATGTGTACAGATGTAAACAAAACATCACTAAAAACAAACTTCATTTTCAGCTCCAAACACTTTTCCTCTTGTTAAAAAATACTGATTCCTACAACCAAAAATCTTCCCGCTATACATAGTGGATGGTAACTTTAGTCAGCACCGAATTACAGTACTGTACGCTAGGAGCCTGATTTACCTCTGACTTGCCTTATTTTACACTGATGTAGCCTCATTCACTTCAAGGGAGTTATTCCTGATTTACACATGTAAATATAAAAAAGCAGGCCCCATATGGTTTATTTATTCTCTGTTCTATTCACAAGCACTGTGCCCAGTTCTCTCTCACTTGTATAAAACTATTATGCTTTTGTGAGAGAAGAATCAGAGCCTCTTGTGTGTGTACTTTTTATCTGGGTAAACCTCTCAGCTTCATCATTTCACCACCTTCTGTAGAACTGATCAGCTCATCCTGATTTAGGGCTGTATCCCAAGAGATACAATAAATGCAGCTCCTGCTGAAGTCAATGTGAGTTGCTGCAAGAGCTCAGCAACCTTTAGGAATAGGTCAGACCATTGATCACCAATTGCCACCATGCATGCAGGTGTAGTAGATTTCAGCAGATGCCAACTGGCACATAATATGACTAAATTTTCTCCTGGAGGTAAACCCTAACTCTGAATTGTCATCTCTCCCCCAAACCCCAGTCCTCCTTGCACTTCCATGCAATTACATGAAGTAATCGTCCATCATATCACCTATAACCTGACTACCTAAATATCTTCTATCTATTTGTATAGAATACAACATTAAGCTGCAAGTGCCGCACACTGTGGAAGAGACTTCATACTTCTGAACAGGACCTGCCTGTCAAACAGCAACCTATTGCTCCAGGCCATGAATGGAGAACAGAGAAAATCTAGAGGTGCCCTCAGTCTCCTGGGATGCAACCTGAAGTCTGGTTTTGAAAGTTGCGAGTTTAAAACCCAACTGTGAGGGTATGTCTACACTTCAATTAAAAACCCATGCCTGGCCCGTGGGGCTTGGGCTCAGGGTCTGTTTAATTGTGGTATAGATGAAATTAAACAGACCCTTATCCCGAGCTGAGTCAGCTGGCACAAGCCAGCTGCAGGTGTCTAACTGCAGCATAGACATACACTGAGCGTATTAAGTCAGTGACCTTTGGAAACAAGTGTGGGTGCAAAGGTGGATGAGCTCTGCTGGTTTACCAGCTGTATTTACTGGCAGCAGGTTCCTTTGCAAACTACTTCTAGTCTGTGATTTTCATTTTGCTCCTTTATTTTCCATTACTAAGGAAACAGATGCATTTACTTCTTAAGTGTTTGCTTTCAGTCCTATACCATGAAACGGGCTGTACAAAAAATACCAAGTATTTTCATAAAAAAATTAATTTTGTTTCAGGACATTTTGAAGCCCCAAGGAAATTCATAAAGTAGTTTTTACATCAGAACATGACAAAATATGCATTTCTCATGTATTTGAACAGGACTTTGAATTTCAAAAATTGAAGTTTTTGCATTTGAGCAAAAGTGAGCTCATTTTCAATCCAGCTGTATTACTTTCGAGATTAAACAAGCTAAATTTTACCGTATTTTTTTTTTAAATAAGGCCTTCAAGTTGTAAGAATTTCATATTTCCCTGTGATAACCCTAAGCATGGCTGCTTGTCGGAAACCCCAGGGAGTGTGCATGTTTGATAGCTTCAACTGCTGCATTACTCCAGTGGCAGTTTGCTCACTCTGTTCTGGCACATACCAAAGAGATTGTCTGAAGCTCCTTAAACCGTGGCAAAAGGTTTAGGAGTTCATTCATACAGGAATGAACCTACCCTTCCACAGATTGTTGTCAGTGCACTGACAGAGGTAACACGTTGCTTTTAAACTTTCGAGTTACACTGCAGCCTCTTGAGGCCAGTACTTTGCTCTTGATTCTCCTTCATCATGAAAAAATCTCTCGCTTGGCTATGCATCATATTTCAGAAGCAGAACAGCTTTACAGATGGGGGTTTTTGGGTCCCTTTCAGAAAACCCTTTTCTTTGAAGCTAACATCACTGTTATTCCTGGGTTCAGCCTCTCAAGGGGGCACTTAGCCACTTTTTAACCTAAAGCCATTCTCAGTAGAGTACAATGCTGGTCTGCTTTATTATGTAATCCTCACAGGTTTAATCTAATCTTTAACCTCCCATAAACTGTAGGAGACTTCACAGGACTGCAATCTTCATACCTGGAAAAAAATCTTGAGCCTTAGTACAAGACAAGTACAAACTCTAAGGGATATTTTCTAATTATTAAAATGCATTTACTACAACCTCCTGAATACATATTTAAAATGTGTTTTATTTTTTTTCCTGTTTGATCAAATCAGTCCTTTAGAAATATAAAGTGTTTGTCTTCTCATTTATTCACACAAATACTTCCCCACATTAAACAATGAGACATTTTATGAACAACCCATCACCACCACCACTATCCTCAAAGGTGCTGGTAAAAGGATGATACAACCGAAACACCCTGAAAACAAAAGAACCTTTTCCCATCAGACCCAGCATTTATGTTCTTTTATACAACCATGCAAAGCTGAATAAAAGTGCATTGATTAGGAACGAGGGCAGCAGCTAACACCTCCTCTCTCAACCCTCCCTTATTCAAATAGATGATGTGCAACTTGCAGGGAGACACCCCTAAGCAATATGGGAAAGCTTTATTTGGACACTGATGCAAACACTGTGAAGAAGCACCAAAGTGTTCATGAGAAAATAATCAGGGACGCTAAACAGATTATCCTACTTCAGAAAAACACCATGAGATAGCAGAAAGAAATTGGAAGGGTAAAATTGTAAAGTATCCATTCAATTTAGAGAGGAGAATGAGAGGCTCGGTGCAAGCTTTTGGATGCTGCAACCATGCAGAGGCCCAGGCAGCACAGCAATGCTGAAGAATGAAGAAAACAGACAAGACAACATGCAGGAAAATCTCCCTCTAGTCAGATCCCAGATACTCAGGAAAGTTCTCACTGGAGTGAAGTCTTTCACCTCAGTAAAATACACCTTAAATATATACAGGTATCCCACTGCATGGTAGTTTTCCTCTGAACACTACCCTCAGAAACAAGGGAGAGTGCAGTTCAGTTTCCAATACCCCTTATTTGGGGCAGAGAACCCAGAAAAAGTGGTAGGTTTCTTCTTTCCCAACAGAACAGTAACAATCAAAACAGCATCTTTCTCCTAAACAGCCCCATAATTGGACTAAAATCCTGGAAAGGAAGGAGCTTGTGAGAAAATGACAAGTCAACCACACAGCTTTTGTCTTCAAGTTTCTCAACATTTTCTATAGAATTAGTGCTTCTCTAAAGAATGCACTTTTTATGTGACACAGAAGTCAATATGAAGTAGATCCTGCAGAAGTATTACCTTTATTTTGGGATTTTTTCCATGTCAGCTTTCCCCCTACTGTTATCTACTGGCCACAAATGACCATGTATACCTACTGCTGCAACCAACGAGAAGAGTATCAACACACATAACCCTTTTAAAAACACATCCTTTCTGCGGCGTCACTAAGCCACCTCTTGGAAAACAGCAGAACATTTCATGTATTGGTTCCAAACACTAGTTTAAAAGGGATATTTATACTGTTTATCCTTCTCATAATTAGATGCATAAACAAACTTGAATGAAAATGGAACTGAATGAAAGGGATTACTAGGGTTCACCAAGAAAGATCTTTCTCGTTTCACGCTGTTGTCAGGTAGGACATTGTCCCTCAATTGAAGGTATTTGCTAATTCAAGTTTTCAGCAAAATTATCATCATCAATAAATTAACAAGGTCATGTACAGAACATGCAAAAATCATCATGTAAGTATTAGTAGTCAAATCTGCTTTAGCTCTATGGTCACTTTCCACCCCAGAATATTACTGAGTGGCAGAGTTGTACAGTTTGAGCAAACAGGCAATTGTCAGCTTTCTATGTTAAGTTATCTGTTCAAATATTCTTCACTTTCATATCCAGGAAAACCATGCAAAGTGATGCAGACTCCAAAGGAACAAGTCAAATGATATGGATGTTTTTAAATAACTCAACTGTTAGAAAGGGAAGGCTACATTCTGGGCAACCATTTTTAAGGAAGGTTCTCTGCACAGCTGAGGACTTCTCCATATCCTTCAGGACATGCACATGCAACGGTCAGTACAGTGAAATAAGACGAATCAGAACAAATGGAGAACGGATGGGGTAGGGCTCTTGTTTACTGAGCATGCTCAAACTCACTACGCACCAGGGAGCAGATTTTAAAACTTCAACAGCATCATGTTTTTGTAAGTATCTTATTTTCTAAAGAAGTGGGATGTTGTGACCCTCATTCATGACGGGCTGATTCACTGCAGTGGGTTCCATGGTAACAATACATCAAATCTAGAAGAATCTCAGATTTTTGATTCCACAAGGACACCCCGAAGGGTATGCAGTACATATGAAACAGTCTGCAAATACTTTCTCTGTTTCAGAGAAATTGTGACCTTTATAGCTGTTGGAAATGCCAAAGGAATGTTCACACAGAAAAGAAAACTTAAATTACAGAAACAGATTAGGAAGATCAGGACTCTCGCAAATACATTTTCAGCTAAAAGCTGAATTAAGCACACCACCACCAAGAGAAGTCATGAATCAAATTCACTGCATGAAAGCATACCTGTTACTGAGTACAGATAAGTTAATAGACTCACTAAAGGAAAATGAACCTCTATCAGACAACCCACAGAATATTACATGTGGCTGCAAGGGCAGCTGTTGCAAAATCCAACAGCATACACCAAGAGAACCTGTTTATGAAGAAAAACGGTCACTGTTTTAAAGTGGCTAGAAACGTGACAACTTGATTCCATTTAGGGGATTGGTGTAGTTGTTTATAGCCAGTCCACTCACGCAGGCTAACAACAAGATGGTGAAGCTTTAGTGAATAGAAGTGTGGGGAATTTATTCAAAGCAGAACACTGGGAATCTACATCTTAGGCAAACCCAACTTTAACAGTGACAAGAAATTCACTTTGGAATTTTGAAACATTGTTCCAATACTATCTTGTTAATCTAAAGTTGTAGTAAGATGCTTTTATACCCTAAAACGGATTCATCACGTTTTCTGAACTGGGCTCATGCTCATTTGGTGCCGTATTTTTCTCGCAAATATTAGAGTAAACATGCTCAGTAATAGGAAATTTCCAAGCAATCTCAACACTCTTAGATGCTGCCCTTGCCTTTTCGTTAGCCATGCCAAGCTGCCTTTCACCACACAGAGATGCAAGCCCCAGGCCAGCCCACATGATAACAAAAGGTAGTACCTGACCTGGTGCTAGGTATATAGGGGATGTGTGTATTGCAAAGAGAAGCTAATACACCGTGGGGTAGTGGAAACACGCACTAGAATGGAAAGAAGTTCTGCTTGGGGATAGGGAGCCAGGATCTTCCTCCGGCAACTGCCTCACTGACTTCTGCCTCCTCTCTGTCCTACCCTCTGTTGTGGCTGCTGCCAAGGTGGGCTCCGGTGAGCCATGCTCAGGGGTCCTGCGCACCAGCACCTCCCCCTCTTGCTCACGTTTGATCCCTAGGTCTGTGGAGCCGTGTTGGATCGGGGAGCCAGGAATGCTTGAGTCAGCCTCGTTTGAGAAGTCAAAGCCATCTGGGATTCAACACATAAAATTTTAGTGCTTTTCTGTTCCTTTCTAGGCATTCCAATCCAGGCAGGGAAAAGAGAAGATGTATGTGGACATGGAAAAACAAAAGCACTTAGAGCTGATCTACACTGCACTGTACTGTGGGTTATAGGGGGTGCAAATTGCAGAGTGCACAGAAATGGTATGTTCTAATTGCTCCATGTGAACATTGCTGGAGCAAACTAAAAGGTACCTAAGCTTTTGAAAGAGGAGTATGTTAAATGCGAACTTTGTACCTTTTAGTTCATGCCAGCAGCATCCACACAGGACATTTAGAGCACACCATTTTGGTGCACTCCGCAATTCACACCCTTATAGTCCACACTGTATGCAGTGTAGACATAGCCTTACTTATATACACACATGCACATTTGTGTGCACACCCACAGAAAAAGGAAGATCAACTATATTGTATATGTGAGAGACTGGCAAATGAACGAAACAATATCAGTGGTAAGGACAAACATGACTTAAAATCTGCAAAATGGTAACGTTTTCTTCCAGACTTGGGCAGCCTGACTTGACAGATCATGAAGCACTCTGGTTCTTGATACATAAAAATAAACTGTAAAAGAAGGGACAGGGGTTTGAAACCAGGGATCAAGTTTTCCCTCTGCGATATTTTAAGTTCCCACTTTTTACTTTCAGCCATTTATGCAGCTTTTTCAGTGGATGTTTTTATACATGCAGGAACACAAAGCTTTTAAATATGACAGTGATTTCTAAGCAAGCTTTTTGCCACACTTATACTGAAGGTGCACCTGACCATGTCAAGAAAAAACCACCACCACATCTATTTTTCTTCCTTGCAGAGTTAAATACTATTCTTAGCAATATACGTATCCATCAAGAAAAACAGGGGACTGAAGGGGAATGAGATAAATTACCCAAAAGTAGTTTAGGGATTTTTCTCTAAGAACAAATGGTCTGATTTAGAGGTGCACAATTCAATCTCCCACAGACTTAAGTGGGATCGGTGGTTGCTCAGCACCACTGAAAAAGTCAGGCCAATAGTACTTCTTGCACTAATTACAGATGGGAGGCAACATGGTCTAATGGACTGAGTGTGGGACTGGGAGCCAAAAACTAATCACACATTGGCCATTGATACTCCATGCTATGCGACATGGAAAATTACCCAACCGCTCAAGCTTCTCCATCCGTAAAAGGAGGTAACATTTACTTACCTACCTCACAGGAGTGCTGTAAGGTTTAAAGAGTTCATGGCTATGCAGTGCTCTGAAAAGTTGTAAAGCACTATATATATTGTTACAAAATATTGCTGTTTTAAAAACAATTAAATGAAACTATTCTGCCAACATTCAGATTCAGAAACTAATTGGTAACGATGGAGATGAACACAGTGCAGTATGTTATTAGCGGCACTGTGGGACTACTCACCTTCTCTCCTCCACCGATGGCGGCGGATGGAAGCTGTCGTAATGGCAGTCCGAGAGATCCTGGGCACTGTAGGAGTAACCTCCACCTTCAGCACCTTCTGGCCTTCTTGCGACACATCAGGGGCATCAAAGGGCAACGAGTTCTTCATGGCATTCGCAACCTACGGTAATAGTAAAATCCTGTGCAAATTCACCACCCTCAACTATATTAAGAGCAGTGCCAGATTTCTTCGTCAGACTGGATGGGGAGACAAAGATTTGGCAACAGTATATCAGGCTACCACACAGACATGGCAGTGACCTCAGGACTTCACGTTTCATGACCACTGACAGGCTCATTGCAAAGCTGACATACCTGGACTACAGAGGACTTCCTTCTCCCTAGGAAGGTTTGAGCTTCCCCATTCTCATTTCATTAAATGATTTATTTGTTTTGCTGCAGATTCACTGCAGAAAGAGAGAGTGTTCCAACAGAGTCAGACTTCAAATGAAACCCAGTAGTACTATCCTTCAAGAATGAGGTCACAATCCATGTCAATGCAAACAGCACAAGTGCAATCAGTGGCTACATAAATAAAAGTAGTGTTACCGTCAAAGGTCACATGATTAGCTCTCGATCTTCAACTACCCCTTTTTGTCAGTTTTCTACAAAATTTTAGAGAACTGCAGCATAACAAGCTCCACAATAAATTGTTCTCTACAATCAAAGATAGGTACTAGAACTGATGATAAAGCTGGAGCTCTACTTTGCAGCTCTAAGAGAGAGAGCAACTGATCTCTTTCAGCTTTGAGACTTAAAATACTATTGTAAACATAAAAGCAGCTGTAAAAATGGCATTATGGGCTTCCACATGTATTGTCTTTCAGTAACTTCCAGATGAAACCTCCCAGTTTACAAATAAAAAGATGGCTCTTCTAATAGTCAAACTAGGCTAGAAAAGTCAAGTTGGGTTTTTTGCAGCATGTGCACCATCACCAGTGTAATAAACTTGCAGTCAACATTTCAGAATTTGGTTCACAACTTTTTTTAATAGATGAGAAAAATAGAATCCAGCTCATCATCTGTGGCTGTGTTGACTCTGCAATAGTAACACAATAATAAAATGAATACTTTTCACTTACATATCTTAATTCAAGGATCTCAACATTTATTAAAACTTCCTCTAATAAAGCAAGCTGATAGTATTCAAAGGGGAGTGATAAGTTGAGTAACAAGGTATCGTTTCCCTAGTTATTTTTCTGCCTTTAATCTCACTCAGTCCCATCCTATACAGCAACAACAATTGCTATTGTAAGTAGGACAAGCTTTTTTCTGCAATGTAGTTAACAGGCATTACGAAGAACAATGCTATGTAGTCACCCAACTGTTTTTTTCTTGGATCATTTAAAGTCGTCAGTGATTTATCAAAAGTCGAGACTGCAGAGACAGAAGTATTTTAAAGACTGAAGTTTGTATTAGGATGTATAACAGAACTGCAAGACATGGCCCTTTTAAAATCAAGTAATTTATTTGGTTGCTCATGGCAAAGATACGCAAACATCCATGAAATATATTTTAAAATTGACAGAACAAAACCCGGAGATGGATAATCCAATGTCAATTCAACTGAAATCCAGATTAACTGAGGGCAGGTCTACACTACAGCTGGATGGACACTCTGAGATCAATCCACCAGCAGTCGATTTAGCGGATCTAGTAAAGACCCGCCAAATCGATAGCAGATTGCTCTCCAGTCGACCCCTGTACTCTACCTCCAACAAGAAGAGTAAGGTAAGTCGACAGGAGATTTTCTCCCATCTATCCCCTGTAGCATAGACCCCACGGTAACTTGACCTAAGGTACGTTGACTCCAGCTATGTTATTTACGTAGCTGGAGTTGCGTAGCGTAGGCTGACTTACCACGGTAGTGTAGACATAGCCTTAGTACACGCCTTTAACAAGAGGTTCTACTGTGACATAGAGGCTCATTGCTTCCAACTGGCAAAGGGTCCATGACTGTCAGCAACTCCTACTAGGCCTGACAAACTCACTATACCTAACACACTGCTTTCATAGTATTTATCCATAAATCGTGTCTTGTAAAGTGTCAAATGAAATGCCCTACGCTACCAGCACTCCCAGCTATCTTTGAGACACCACTGACTTCCTGAGGAAACAACAATCCTTTGGTGATCTTCCAGAAAACACCATCCTAGCCACTATGGATGTAGAAGCCCTCTACACCAACATTCCAAAGATGGACTACAAGCCATCAGGAATAGCATCCCCGATACCATCATGGCTAACCTAGTGGCTGAACTTTGTGACTTTGTCCTCACCCACAACTATTTCAGATTTGGAGACAATTTATACCTTCAAGTCAGCGGGACTGCTGTGGGTACCCACATGGCCCCTCAGTATGCCAACATTTCTATGGCTGACTTAGAACAACACTTCCTCAGCTCTCGTCCCTAATGCCCCTACTCTACTTGCGCTACATTGATGACATCCTCATCATGTGGACCCATGGAAAGGAGGCCCTTAAGGAATTCCACCGAGATTTCAACAATTTCCACCCCACCATCAACCTCAGCCTGGACCAGTCCACACAAGAGGTCCACTTCCTAGACACTACAGTCCTAATAAGTCATAGTCACAAACACCACCCTATACCAGAAACCTACTGACCACTATACTTACCTACACGCCTCCAGCTTTCATCCAGACCACATCACACAATCCATTGTCTACAGCCAAGCTCTAAGATACAACCATATTTGTTCCAATCCCTCAGACAAAGGCAAACACCTACAGGATCTCTATCAAGCATTCTTAAAACTACAATACCTACCTGGTGAAGTGAAGAAACAAACTGACAGAGCCAGAAGTCACCTACTACAAGACAGGCCCAACAAAGAAAGTAACAGAATGCCACTAGCCGTCACCTTCAGCCCCCAACTAAAACCTCTCCAGCACATCACCAAGGATCTACAACCTATCCTGAAGGACGACCCATCACTCTCACAGACCTTGGGAGACAGGCCAGTCCTCGCTTACAGAGCCCCCCAACCTGAAGCAAATACTCACCAGCAACTACACACCACACAACAAAAACACCAACCCAGGAACCAAACCCTGCAACAAACCCTGGTGCCAACTCTGTCCACGTATCTATTCAAGGGACACCATCATAGGACCTAACCACATCAGCCACACCATCAGGGGCTCATTCACCTGCATATCTATCAATGTGATATATGCCATCATGTGCTCTGCAATGTACATTGGCCAAACCGGACAGTCTCTACTCAAAAGATTAAATGGACACAAATCTGACATCAGGAATCATAACATCCAAAACCCAGTAGGAGAACACTTCAATCTCCCTGGTCACTCAACAGACCTAAAAGTGGCAATTCTTCAACAAAAAAACTTCAAAAACAGACTCCAACGTGAAACTGCAGAACTGGAATTAATTTGCAAACTGGACACCATCAGAGTAGGCCTGAATAAAGACTGGGAGTGGTTGGGTCATTACAAAACCTAAACTTAATTTCCCCCTACCATTACTCACACCTTCTTGTCAACTCTCTGAAAGAGGCCACTCTCATTACCACTTCAAAAGTTTTTTTTTTCCCCCCTTGGTATCCTGCTGTCAATTGAATCATCTCGTTAGACTAACCTCACACTTGGTAAGGCAATTCACATCTTTTTATGTATTTATACCTGCTTTTGTATTTTCCATTCCATGCATCTGATGAATTGGGTTCTAGCCCACGAAAGCTTATGCCCAAATCAATTTTTTAGTCTCTAAGGTGCCACAAGGACTCCTCGTTGTTTTTTTTTAAATGAAAGCTGGTCATTGTATTGTTGTGAAATGTATGTACTGTACTGACATTTTAAAAGTTTTGTTTAGAAACTGTAGTATCTAAAGTCTGTAACTGGCACAGCTGACAAACAGATTTCTTCCAGACAGGAGATAAGATGCGTCTGTCAAATGGAAATTGAGCATTGAAAGCCAAATATGCATACTGCAAAACAGGCAGATGGGAAGATGCTGGAGACTGGTACCCACAGGGGGTTGTCTTGTCTCTGGGGTGCAAAGACAATGGAGTGTGCGGTATAAGAAGGAAGCAGAGGGACCACTCTTTTATTCTGCACTTGAGGGGGTGACCAAGCAGAGCTGTAGCTCACGAAAGCTCATGCTCAAATAAATTGGTTAGTCTCTAAGGTGCCACAAGTACTCCTTTTCTTTTTGCGAATACAGACTAACACGGCTGTTCCTCTGAAACCTGCCATGAAAACAAGCTCTCAAACAATGTTGGCTGAAATGATGTAAGGAAGTTCTTAGATGAGAAATTGCTTTAGACAGGGTTAGCTTGTTATAGTTCAGTCTAAGTCTACCAGAAGTGTGTTATATTTTTGTTTTGTTTGTAACGTGTTATTCTTATTGCCTTTTCTCACTCTCTCTTAAAATCTTTACCTCTGTTATTAAACTTATACTGTAGAACCTCAGAATTATGATCACCTTGGGAATGGAGGTTGTTCATAACTCTGAACAAAACATTATGGTTGTTCTTTCAAAAGTTCACAAACAAACATTGATGTAATACAGCTTTGAAACTTTACTATGCAGAAGTGCTGCTTTTAACCATCTTAATTTAAATGAAACAAGCACAGAAACAGTTACCTTGTCAAATATTTTTTAAAAATTGTCCTTTTTTTTTTTAGTAGTTTACATTTAACACAGTACTATACAGTGTTCACTGTTTTCCCCCATCCTAACTCTGCTACCTTGTACTCTTCTGGTTCCAAATGAGGTGCGTGGTTGACTGTTCAGTTTGTAACTCTGGTGTTTGTAACTGAGGTTCTACTGTACTTGTTTTCACGATAAGTAGATTATAGTGCTGTGTTATCTTGGAGCGGATAGTCATTTGAATCAAACAGGCTGGTGCGTGTATACTATTCCTTTGGGAGCAGGGAACCTGATAATTGCTGTGAGTGTCCAGTGACAGGGGCTGGACTCTGGAGGGGGATGCTTTTGGACTGGCTCAGGGGCTGGAGTCCTCCTTTGCCTTAAATTGTAAGGCAAAGGAGGGGCTGGTAGAGCCCTAGGGTGATTGCTTGAATGGTTGAAAGACTAGTGGCATCTGGGAGCTGACACCTCGCTACCACAAGAAA